CTATCAAATCACCAATACCCCCCTTTTTTTTTTTAATTTCTTCTATACCACAAAGCTCCAGCGAGTGAGTTTCTGTGCAGCTGGTACAAGTGAACTCTACCCTGGTGAACGCCTAAAGGCTGCAATACACAGCTTGAATTTTGACTGATTCATCCTGAATTAGCTGAAATGTGAGCCATGGATGGACCTGTTGGAGCTGAACTACGCTCTGTATGAGCTGGGTAGATAACTGTCAGCTGAACAGTGACAGCATCCAATCAGATGCAGTCACTGTTTGGGTATTCAGACATCCGTGGGTGCCAGTTGTCAGAATATAATTTCCAGCAGGAGAGATTTGTCCATCCATGCTGTTTAGCATTGATGAAGGAATCTATTGAACAAATTCTATTCAGCACACAGAAGTGTGTGTGTGTGTGTGTATGGCCAACTGTAAATGGATGCCTATGGAATGAAATCATACCATGCAGGATTCAGAAGTATAGTATGCCCTCCACAAAGATATACAAAGATCTGCAGTCACATGACCACACATAAAAAAATATATTTAGTTTAATTAAAAATGCAATAACGCAGTTATTATAAATGTATTGATTGAATACAGAACAGTTGGGGGGCAAAATTTTAAAAAATGTGGTAAGAGTTTCATCTTTCCATCTACGTTAAAGCAATTTAACCATTTCCCAAAACAAGTTAGCCTTAAAATATGAATAATTACTAGTTTAGCTCACAAACAAATCATCAAGCCATCAATCATAGTTGATCACATTTAAAGCACCATGGCAACTTACAAGTCAGACAGAAGCCAAGAAAGCTCTAAAGGATTGAAGGCTTTCGTTCCACTTTGTGTGTGCACATTCGGCTCTTTACATACACTGCCTACTACTGTGATCTAGCCTACTGCAGGTTTACCTGGGTGAGAAAGCTTTGCTACTGATCAACTACACAAAATATGCATCAGTTAAAAGTGGGATTAACCCCAAAAATCTGTTGCAGCTTGCCAAGGCTTACAGGGGAAACTCGAAAAATTAGAATATCGTGCAAAAGTTCATTTATTTCAATAATGCAACTTAAAAGGTGAAGCTAATATACGAGATAGTTCAAGCCGTGATTTGTCATAATTGTGATGATTATGGCTTACAGCTCATGAAAACCCCAAATCCACAATCTCAGAAAATTAGATTACATGCAATCAATAAAACAAGGATTGTCCATAGAACAATATCGGACCTCTGAATAGTATAAGCATGCATATGTACTCAGTACTTGGTTTGGGCCCCTTTTACAGCAATTACTGCCTCAGTGCGGCGTGGCATGGAAGCTATCAGCTTGTGGCACTGCTGAGGTGTTATGGAAGACCAGGATGCTTCAATAGCGGCCTTCAGCTCCTCTGCATTGTTCGGTCTCATGTCTCATCTTTCTCTTGGCAATGCCCCATAGATTCCCTATGGGGTTCAGGTCAGGCGAGTTTGCTGGCCAATCAAGGTCATTGAACCAGGTTTTGGTGCTTTTGGCAGTGTGGGCAGGTGCCAAGTCCTGCTGGAAAATGAAGTCAGCATCCCCATAAAGCTTGTCTGCGGAAAGAAGCATGAAGTGCTCCAAAATCTCCTGGTAGACGGCTGCGTTGACCCTGGACTTAATGAAGCACAGTGGACCAACACCAGCTGATGACATTTCTAATGAGAGTAACTTTTGCATCTCATTTGGAAACCAAGGACCCAGAGTATGGAGGAAGAATGGAGAGGCACACACTGCAAGATGCTTGAAGTCCAGTGTGAAGTTTCCACAGTCTGGGTTGATTTGGGGAGCCATGTCATCTGCTGGTGTTGGTCCACTGTGCTTCATTAAGTCCAGGGTCAACGCAGCCGTTAACCAGGAGATAATCACACAATTATGACAAATCACGGCTTGAACTATCTTGCTTTGCATGTAATGAGTCTCATATATTAGTTTCACCTTTTAAGTTGCATTACTGAAATAAATGAACTTTTGCACGATATTCTAATTTTTCGAGTGTCATCTGTAGATGTGGTGACTGCAGTTTTTAATGCTCCACCCCCTTATTTTTACCTGTTGATCCTGCCAGGAAGTTTTATTTTTCAACTTTCGACAGACCAAACTGCAGCAAAAGGGGTATTTAATAGTGTTATGACAAACCATTTACATGGGTGCTTATAATGGTCAACTTATTCATTTAAAACCTTTATACCAAAAGAAACTCTTACTGTAACTGCTTATAAAGAGTTAACTGGTGTTCAGCTTTAAAGTGGAATTAAACCTAGAAAAAAATAAATAAATGGAGCCACTGGCAGGTATTTTATTGGTCTCTGCGGTCATAAACTGTACTCCCTGCACATGCACACTTACATCATGGCTCTGTGCTGCCATGACTTCCATGCACACGCGCACTAGAGTGACATCAACGAGGTTCAGCCAATGGGCATGGACAGAAGACTAGAAAAAGATGGCAGCACTGACACCGCCCGTGCTGGTAGGGAAATTGCTTTCCAGATAAGTCAGCCATAATGTGCCAATGTTAGGGATGCACCGAAATTTCGGCCTCCGAAACATCAGGCGAAAATAATGCCAATAGGAAAAAATTCAGCTGATGCAGGTGCCGATACAGGAGACTGTACTGCAGATGTAAGGGAGGGCGGCTGAGAAAGGGAGGAGCGGAGCAGTGTACACAGTGACTGGCTGTCACTATGTCAGTGCCGGTTTTTTTTAAATATAATTACCGGCTTTTTTTTTCTTCACTATAGCTCACAGAATTAGCGGTCACTTTCCCCCCAGCTAAAGGAAACAAAGTTTCCTTTTAGTTTCTTCCCCAGAGTTAAAAGAAACAAAGTTAATTCTGTGAGCTATAGTGAAGAAAAAAAAAAAAAAAAAAAAAAAAGCCGGTAATTACATTTAAAAACCAGCACCAACATATAGTGACAGCCAGTGAGGGAGCCTCTGTAAAAATTGCTCCCTCACTGTATACTGTTCCTCTCCTGCCCCCTCCTTGCACACATTGCCCCCTACAAAGAGGACCGGTCACTCATATGCCATCAGATAGGGGACTATTGGTCCCCTATGTGATAGCAATAAAATCATAAATTTAAAAAATATACAGAGAAAACCCCCCCCCCCCCCCCCCCCCAAAAAAAAAAAAAAAATTGGAGCCTCCCCACCTTCACATACGCAGACATTTCGGTTTGGTTTTCGGCCACATGCATTCTGAATTTTCGGCACCAGAATTTTCATTTCGGTGCACCACTAGCCAATATGCTGTGACTATTATTGGCAATTATTTATTGCTGTGACATTATGGCATAAAGCTCCTGGAGCTTTTTTTTTTTTTGGTGTCAGGGAGTTTAATTCTGCTTTTGAGCTCATCCAAATGGATGATTAAGCCCCTCCTCCATGCAGAGAGCCGCTAACAGATGCCTGTGCATCTACATCGGAGCTCATAGAAGTGGATGTGCACGCCAGCGAGGACACTTCACGTTAAAGTTTGACACGCAGGCAGAAGCAGGTGCACGGATCCGAATACAGAGGTTCTGCATTTGGATCTGTGAAACCAAAAATTCTGATGTGCAATTATGTCTGCACTAGCACTGCGTGTGCATCCACGTCTATGAGCTACCTGCCCATGCATCTGCCAGCAGCTCTGTACGGAGGATGGGCTTAAAGTTAAAAAGGTACAAGGTTTTTTTTTTTTAAACTTTAAAAGCAGAGTTCTAGCCACAAAGTGGAAACTCCGCTTGTTTGCCAACCCCCCCCCCCCCCCCCCCCCCGACATATTTGGCACCTTTTGGGGGAGAGGGTACCTAGTTTTGACAGGTATCCGCTCCCACTTCTGGCTCAGGTCAACGCAGTGGAAAGAGTCTTAAGTTCAGCCCCCTCCTTCCTTCCGCAGTCTTCTGGGACACTTCACAGGTCCCAAAAGACTGCCGAGCCAATCAGCATGCGCAGCGCAACTCACGCATGTGCAGTGGGCACCCAGCTGTGAAGCCGCAAGCTGTCACAGCCTGGTTCCCACAGTTGAGATGCCGGAGCCTTGTAAAGGAGAGAAGAGACGGCACGGGTGAGCACTTAGCTGGACCCTGGGACAGGTGTGTGTTTATTAAAAGTCAGCAGCTACAGTTTTTGTAGCTGCTGACTTAATAAAACACAAAAACGTCGAACTCCGCTTTAATGCATTGTCTGCATCAAGGTAAAAAAAAAAAAAAACCACAAACCACTTCGCTGCCTTACAAGTCGCTGATCTCTGCCATTACTAGTATAAAACAAACAAAAAAATTCCAGTATATATACCACCATTTGTAAACGCTATAACTTTCATGTAAACCAATTAATTTACATACATTGGTATTTTTCTTTAGCAAAGACATGAAGTAGAATACATTTTGGCCTACATTTATGACGAAATTTGATTTGATTTTATTTTTTTATTGGACATATTTAATAGCAAAAAGTCAAATATATTTATTTTTTTTTCAAAATTGTCGGGTCTTTTTGTTTTATAGCGCAAAAAATAAAACCGCACAGGTGATCAAATACCACCAAAAGAAAGCTCTATTTATGGGGTGGAAAAAAAAAAAGGGACATAAATTTCATTTGAGTGTAGCGTTGCATGACCGCGCAATTGTCAGTTAAAGTAACGCACACCGCCGGATCACAATAAACGGCCTGGTCAGGAAGGGGGGTATATCCTCTGGAGGGCAAGTGGTTACTGATGTCCTTGTGGACAGACCAGGGGCAGACTGACAGCTCATGGGGCCCCCAGGCAATAGGGGATCATGGGGCCCCTGTGTCCTTGCCCAAACTCAAAAAAGCCTATGAAAAAGGTACCAGGAGCATTCCATGGGGCCCCCTACTGACCCCGGGCCCTCGGGCAGTGCCCGAGTTTCCAAATGGTCAGTCCGCCCCTGGGAGACATGCAGATGACACTACTGGATGCAGACCATTACTGGACGAGTCATAGGACTTTACAAAGAAGCAGCGAAGCGTCTGCTCACCTAGCCGCGCCTCCCAGCCGGGCTGCGGGTCGTAGTGTGGACGATTGGAACATGTCTGTTTCCAGAATCTCTTTTCAGCCAGACGGAGCAGCCATCCCACCACCGCCACCAATACACAGGCCAAGAGGGCCGAGTACCCCACGGCGGGGTCCCAACCAGACAGCAGATCAGAAATCGGCTTCATCCTGCTAACCTACGAGCGATTCCGTCAGCGAGGCTGGGCCCCCTCTGCTCTAACTCTCCGGGACTTCTCCCTCTACAGGCCGCTCCGGCGTGTCCCACCGACCCTCCTAGCGTCCCCTGGCTTTCCCGCCGTGTCCACCTACACCCCCTGCACGTCCTCTGATAGGACAATGGGGCTCAAGTTGGGGGTTCCCGCGCCTTACTTTGCTGAAGCGTGTCACCCCACCCTCATCCCTCCCGACCTCTTCTCTCCCCGGCCCGCTTCGGTGGGGCGTACAATGCCCTATCCGGGCTCACAGCCGAACTCCTCAGCACTGGGCTGTCCCCCAGTATCCCTCCTGGCCTGGGCTCTCCTCCTCCTCAGCGCTCGCTCTAGAGGACCTCCGCCCTGCCTTACACAAGCAGCTTCCCTCACTCTGTACCGGTTCCAAGACTCAGACCCGCCCTACCTCCTCCGCCTTATGTAGGATCCACCCGGGGTTACTGTACAGCCAGCGTGCGACACTTCCGCTCCGGCCTGACAGGACCCCTCCGTCTCACGGCAACGGGGCTGTCCTTGGCGCGCCTGAAACACCGGCTAGGTGGAGCTTTGTTGTCGCGCCACAGTATGACTGTGCTGAGACGAGCACTGCTAGTGCTTTGCTGTTGTTCTGCAGGGTCTAATCAAATCACTGGAACATCTCTTTTTGGTGGAATGTAAACTATATTTTCCACCACAGCTCTATCCTCAGTCTGCCAAAGGGGTTACAGAGGGGAAAAAGGTGATATAGTATCAACTATTGAAGTGGAACTAAATGGATTACAGTAACACTAAATACCTTTTCACACGGGCGGTCCATTTTATTCATCAGTTCAGTCACATTTTTTCCAAGAAAAAAAAAAACAACAGTTCACGTCCATATTTCATCAGTTTACATCTGTTTTTCAGTTGACTTCCGTTTTCCATCAGTTGACTTCCGTTTTCCCATCAGTTGACTTCCGTTTTCCCATCAGTTGACTTCCGTTTTCCCATCAGTTGACTTCTGTTTTCCCCATCAGTTGACTTTCTGGTTTTCCTCAGTTTACTTCTGTTTTCCATCAGTTTACTTCTGTTTTTCAGTTTACATCCGTTTTTCATTAGTTTACATCCGTTTTTCATTAGTTTACATCCGTTTTTCATCAGTTTACTTCCGTTTTTCATCAGTTTACTTCCGTTTTTCAGTTTACATCCTTTTTCATCAGTTTACATCAGTTTTTCAGTTTACATCCGTTTTTCCGTACATTTTTCAGTTTACATCCGTTCATCAGTTTACTTCCGTTTTTCATCAGTTTACATCCCTTTTTCAGTTTACATCCGTTTTTCATAAGTTTACATCCCTTTTTCAGTTTACATCCGTTTTTCATCAGCTTACTTCCGTTTTTCATCAGTTTACATCCATTTTTCAGTTTACATCCGTTTTTCATCAGTTTACATCTGTTTTTCAGTTTACATCCGATTTTCATTAGTTTACATCCGTTCATCAGTTTACTTCCGTTTTTCATCAGTTTACATCCATTTTTCATCAGTTTCCATCTGTTTTTTCTGTTTACATCCGTTTTTTTTCATCTATTCTGTTTTTTTTTAAACAGAAGAAAAATAGGGTTTTCTTCGTTCAAAAAAACGGATGTTAACAGATGCAGACATTAACGGATGTAAAACAGATGATCATTCATTTACATATGCTAGTCCATAGAAATACATCGGTGTGTGGTGGTTTATGTAAGGATTTATTCTACTTATAAAGGGCGGTGTCCCTTTCCCTTAGATGAAATGTTACAGTGCCCCAGCCGTTAAAATACGGCAAATATTTAGTAAACCAATAATTTGGACACCTTGATAATTTGATCACCACTTATTATTAGACCTTGAATTCTTTTAGCCAGTATGATTTCGTACCATACACACAAAATTTGCCTTATAATAGAGAAATATAAAAATTTATTTATGTACAAAAATTATATATATATTAACACAAAACGCAAAAGACTGGTGATGAATGAATACTGATACACACGGTCAAAGATATACTATATCAAGATCATACACGAAATAACGTTTCTATATAATGAAATTAATATAACAAATTTCTAAATGATGATGATGATTATTAAAAATTAAATTTAGTAATAACTAATAATTTAGAGTATCTCAGAGGTTATATTCTCACAAAACGTGGCCATAGGATTGGAAGAAGATATTCTCTGATAAATTATACTCTAATTATTAATATTTAATAACTCATGAAATGTGAAAAATTTGTAATATGACACCAAACAATTTTAGCAGTAATACAGGATCTCTCTCTCTATATATATATATATATATATATATATATATATATATATATATATAAAAATCACCCAATATAGTTGTGATACACTAAAGTAATTCTTATTACTCTACACAACAGAGAAAATATGCAATACAAAATTAAATGGACAGTCTCACCACACCCGGAATTCAGACTATGAAACTTTCCAGTGGATCCAGCTGGCAATGGAACGCCTTCAGAATGATGCCACAGGGGCAAGTGATAGATTTGTAGTATCGTAGAGATTCAGAGGTTTAGAAGTTTAGGAGAAAGTTTTTAAAAGTTTGAAAGGATGGAAGAGGGGTTATTCAGCAGAGTTGTCTCTTCAGATTTTCTTCTAGTGAGGGTTTTTTTCAATGAGGTTTTTTTTTTTTTTTTTTTTTTCAAAATGAGGTGCATGGGTTTTTATACCAACTAAACTATTGTTCTAAGAGACCCTCCCACCAGGCTTTTTGATTGGCTGGTTGAGAAAAGTATGTACATAAGCTATTTCTCACCTGCCTGCCAGATGGCAGTCTTGTACCATAGAACAATTTGAGTATTGATGATGACTCATACCTCGGGTGGAACTCAAGGTGATTTTAGGTATTAAATATACGTCTTATTCAGGTATATAGAGGTGACCATACCTATAATATTCTAAATAGGAACCATGGAATATATGTGTATATTCAGTTATTCCTCTCCCTGAGATACAAGCTTGTGTGAAAGCATTTGTTTCCTGATAAGACATGCAACTGATGCTAACTCACAATATATATCTTACTTTTTTCCTCATCTCAATACTCAAGTTAGTGATATACAATCCCCATTCTGCTGAATATTTTGTGGTGTGTGAAACATATTCTTTTTAACATCCATTGATACTATGCTTTTTTTGGTAATATCTCCGTGGGTAGATATATTAAATTCTTAGCCTTATATGTCCTGAATTTAACTTTTTTTTGTTTTAGAACCAACATTTCCTATGGGTAAGGAAAGACTCTCTGTTTACCTGGCTATTGTGTTGGAGTCAGAGTAAACAACCATTGATACTTTCAACCTTAGTGGATAATAGCATATTGTGATAGTTCGAGAGGTTTGTTGGTTCATTACACTCCACAGGATTTTGGGTAAACTTTCAACCAGTTAATTTCCCGTCTCATCATTGTCTTTTAGTTATATGTGATGACTCAGTGTTTGAAGGTCTAATGTCTCATCTGGCTGTCTGTTTAACTTTTGTATATGCATTCTCCCCGACCCCAATATACAAATAGTATTTATTGACATATATACACCTTAGTTAGCCTTATAGTGCCAGCCTAAACCTTAGAATTAAACCCCCTGTGGAGAGTCAAATAGTCTATTGTCTCTAGGAAAGGAAAAAAAAATCCCCTCACCCATTATTTACATTTCTTAGCTGTAGGGTCATTCGACTTTTCAACCAAGACAAGTTAACCCTTAACAGACGGCTAGGCTGGGTTGCTGTCAGATAAAGTCATGTTTTTGATACATAATTTCAAAAGTCCACAACAGGTGTCCGTTTTTTATCCATAAACATGAAAAATGGACATACGGCCCCATGTGAAAGGGGCCTAAAGGCAAAACTTTTTGTTTTTAGTTTTGGATAAGAGTGCAAAGGCATCAGAACACCTGTCAGGTTTTATTGCTGTGTGCGCCCCCATTAAAGGATAAGTTCACCTTTCATAATGTGTTACATCCATAGTCAGGGTGTAACATGTAACATGTAATGATCAGACCGTCCCGCTTTGACAGCTACCAGGGGATCTCCCCCCTCGCTAGCTGTCAAATTTTTTTAAAAAAGTGAGCATGCGGGGCTCCGCCTGCCCAGCCGCATCACTTATTTACTGTGTTCTGTGAATTAGAAACTTAAAGTCCTGACAACAGATGTCAGCTTGTAGTTGTCAATGAACTACCACTGTGCTGTAGAGCGCCATGGTAGTTCATTGAGTCTTCCTGTCAGGATATCTGCTTGTCAGTACATCCCATACAGGCAAGCACATATAGTGACAGGTCTGCAAGAGACCTGTATGGCACCAGCAAGCTGCTGATCGCTGGTGCTATGGTTTACAGGCTCCTACGGACAAAAAATAATAAATGCACATTTTTATTACCTGCACAAAAATGTGCATTTATTATTTTTGTGGAAAAGGTGAACTTTTCCCTTAAGTAGATTCATCCTCTTTATTTGTCCTGTTTACCATTATCATTGAAACTGAAAGTAAAATAAAGTCCCACATTATGGGTTGTCCCCAGAAAAGTAATAGAGGGGAAATCTTCCAATGGAGACACAAGTTCTGGTGGCCTGGGGGTCCCCAAGGAATTCTCTTAATTTTCAGGGATTTCTTCTCATGTCCTGTTTGGCTATGGGACAGGAAGTAAAGGTAAATCTCCCTAATGGGACACTGGGAAAAAAAATCTGACAGGTTATAACCTTCTCTTGCTCTATCCAAAATGGAAAAAAAAAAAATAATTTTGCCTATAGTTCTACTTTAACCCCTTGACACCAACGTAACACAAATATGCGGCCTCACAGAACTGGGCTTTTTCCCATGGGGTCACATATTTGCGTACCTGTCTTCTGGGAGCGAGCTGCACGGCATGCTCCCAGCACAAAGACCAAGAGCAACGGGGCTCGTTCTAACAATCGGGACCGGGGACTCCAGATTCC